GGCGGACCTTGGCGCCAGGTCTGGTCAGCCCCCACGGCCTACGCGGACGACACCTCCTGTCTCTTGCGCTCGAGGATAGCGTCCTTCCTACACAATGGCACCGACCTAAGCCGCAAATCGCGCGGCAGCCTTGTAGGAAGGAGCACTCGGTGAGCAGCCTTCAAAGACTCGTTTGCGATGAACTCCAGTCTGACACCGTATATCAGAGGTCGGCCGCAAGCAAGACAGTCGTGCGCCAGTCTCTAATGAACGGGACTGGCGTCGAGGTGCGTCCATGGTCGCGCGTGCACTCCCAATCCTCCTCCTCGCCTTCGGCCGGGGTGTGGAGCTAGGATTGGGAGTGCGGCGGGGAAGGCCTTGGACGATGGATTTCGCTGCATCGTCGGTAGTAGTCGAGGGTTGGTGGGGTTGACGTTAGACGGGAACATTGGGAAAAGCCCCCGGACGCGCATGAGTGCAGCCATCCCGAGTTCGCTGCATCCCTGCCGCTCGGCACAAAAAAGTGGATAATACAAAATCTTGTCAACTCGGATAACGATGTCGCCATGTAGATCTCGCAAGATAGGTTACAATGACCCAGAAACGCTTCGTTCATTCAGAGCGATTGGTATCGATCCCATGCGTAACATAGATCAACTGAGCATCGCGCGTCGCATTCCTGAGCCAGATAACCTAGAAAATGAGGCGAAGTCGTCGAATTGTCGAGGAGATGACTGTCCGAAGTTCGAACAATAGCGGCGCTCAGACGACAACCACGCGCTCAAACCAGCTGTAAGTAACCGGTTTGATGGCCGGGCAGACAATGTTGGACGCGCCACTGAACGCGTCGGACTCCGAGTCGTTCGCGTCCAGCCTCTACGTCTCCAGATTTCTTTGTCACCTTGGCGTCCGTCCTCACCTGGTCGCCACCGGTACCCACTTGCTGTGCCAGAGGACGCGTTGAGTAACGATGCAAACCATGCCAACAGCCGGAATGCCCTCGAATAATAGCTCACCGTTGCGGTACATCCGTGAGGCCCGGCGTCTCAAGCAGAATTCGAGCCGGAGCGAGGTGTCGGACAGTGAGGAGGAACGCCAGAGGTGTGTCTTTAGTTACGACTGACGCGCCTGTAACGTTCTGTATGCGGACTTGCGCAGGCGTCTCAAGCTGAAACGATCCGCACTTGGGACTGCGAGCAATAGTGAGCTGCCCATAGTGGTGATATCTTCGGACGAGGAGGACGTGTCAAGGTGCGTAGATAGAACTACTTGCAAAGCAGCTATGTTGAGCTATGTCTCCGCAGTCTTTCTGTTATTGCGCAGAAGGGCTCTCAGTCGACTCAGCCGACGGCCGCTGCACCCGAACCCGAACAAGAGCCACGTCCAGACAGGTCCGTCGTCAGTCAGTGTGAGTGATGTAGCCGTGTTCAATGTGACATGCCTCCTCCTAGCGACACCGAAGAATTGCCTCCAGTTGGTCCACGTCGCAAGCCCGAGCGAACACCCCATGCCCGCCGTATCATCCTCAGCTCAGATGAGGAAGAGGCCAACGAGGAGGCAGCATCCATCAACGAAACTGACAATCCGCGAACCCCACACGGTCGCAACCCTCGCAGTATCTTGGACGATGATGTCATAGACCTCACGCTAAGCTCTCCAGAGAGCACGAGTCCAGAGTCTGAACTCTTCCCTCCAGCGAGACCCTCAGCATCTGTAAAGAAGAGGGTGAAAGCCAGCCCCAAGGCTCAAGGCCGTTCATCTCCAGAGCCAGAACCAATGATCCCGCTTTTCTTAGACGATTCAGAGGACGAGGGCGATCAAGAACACTGGGACAACGGCGACGGCGACACGCTTAGTGATCCTTTCTTCGATGACGACGGTGCAATCCTTGTTCTGTGAGGCCCTGATGCCTCATCAATTACCTCGTCTTGTGCTGAGAATGATTCTTAGGGACGAACCACGAAGCACGCAGAAACCAATACGTCGACCGAACCCGGCTTCGGCTTCAGGCCTCAGATTCCCTGCGCCGTCAGCTCCACGACGAGGCCCGAGCAAGCTACGATCAACCGTGTCTTCTGACTCCAGTACCGATTCTGAGTCGGAGGTCGCCTCGATCGTCAAGCCCAGACCTCGCGGGTCAGGCTCCTCTAGAGCACGGGCGACGACGACTGACAGCCCTGCACCTAGTGCTGGCAGGCTCCCAGGGAAGATCCCGCGCATGACGAAGAAGGCATTGCTGCAGCTCGAGCTGGAGCGGAGACGCGCGTACGCGCAAACGTTCTTCAACGAGCTGAACGAGTCGGTCTTCGCGGGCGGCATCCCAGCCAATACTGAGTTGCAGTGGAACAAAAGGTTGTTGACCACCGCTGGTCGTGCGCATTGGCACAGGTTCGTGGAGAGCCCGAAGAGCCCGAAAAACGCGTAGCTGAACTGTAGAGCAGGACGAAAGACGGTAACCATATCACGTCCATACAACTGGCCGAGAAAATCTTGGATTGCGACGGTGGGCCGCTGCGTGGTCCGACGCGCGAGGTGAGATACTGAGCTACCGTTTCTTAGAACGCATCAGGAATACGCTTTCGCACGAAATGTGCCATCTGGCGTGCTGGATCATCGACGAGGCCCCGAGTGAGAACCACGGCTCGCTTTTCAAGCGTTGGTGCGTACCGTCATGTTGTTGGTGACAGTCTGGGCGGGGCTCATTGCAGCTGACACAACGTGGGTTAGGGCGAACAAGATCATGCGGAAGCGATCGGAGATAGAAGTGACGGTGTGCTTCGCCAACGGATCCTCTCGTACTCACTCCTGAGCATTACGTCGTGAACAACAGACGCGGCACAACTATGATATCAAGTGCAAGTATGAGTGGAGTAAGTTGGTAGGCCGACAAGCCTGACCTGCCGTGCTAACGCTTGTCAACAGAATGCGAGAACTGCGCAAAGGTGTATGTCAATATTTGCATTGCATATCATACCAGAATATCTAAGGACTTCGTAGTTATGGCCGACATTCGAAGTCCATTAACCCAGACGAACAAGGTTTGTACTCCTACTTTGATGCCCTTAATTATATCTGGACATATGATGGTCCCCAGCATGCGGCGTGTGCAAGACTGGCAGGCTGGTACCCCAATTCCAGACTCGCCGCGCACCACCCAGGACCCCCAAGCCGAAGGCGGACAGCCAAAATGCTGCAGCGCGCAGTCGCGGTACGTCGCAATCTCCGCCAAGCCGACTTCACGTCACGCGTGCTGACACGCCTGTGTTGGCTGCAGACTCACCGATTGTCATGCCTGGAGCATTCCCCTCGCCAACGCCTTCTCCTGCGGCGAGGATAATGGAGAAGGTTCAACCTTACATCGGCCCATCTCCGTCGATCGATCCCTGCAACGATGCGGATTCAGACATTGAGATTTTGGCTCATACTCTCAAGGATATCAGTATCAGTGGCGCGAAGTGATGTTGCACGGTGGAGTCAGCGATGCTCAATTGGGTTATGTTACGCATGGGGTCGATACCAATCGCGCTGAATGAACGAAGCGTTTCTGGGTCATTGTAATCTATCTTGCGAGATCTACATGGCGACATCGTTATCCGAGTTGACAAGATTTTGTATTATCCGATTTTTTGTGCCGAGCGGCAGGGATGCAGCGAACTCGGGATGGCTGCACTCATGCGCGTCCGGGGCTTTTCCCAATGTTCCCGTCTAACGTCAACCCCACCAACCCTCGACTACTACCGACGATGCAGCGAAATCCATCGTCCAAGGCCTTCCCCGCCGCACTCCCAATCCTAGCTCCACACCCCGGCCGAAGGCGAGGAGGAGGATTGGGAGTGCACGCGCGACCATGGACGCACCTCGACGCCAGTCCCGTTCATTAGAGACTGGCGCACGACTGTCTTGCTTGCGGCCGACCTCTGATATACGGTGTCAGACTGGAGTTCATCGCAAACGAGTCTTTGAAGGCTGCTCACCGAGTGCTCCTTCCTACAAGGCTGCCGCGCGATTTGCGGCTTAGGTCGGTGCCATTGTGTAGGAAGGACGCTATCCTCGAGCGCAAGAGACAGGAGGTGTCGTCCGCGTAGGCCGTGGGG